AAAGTATATATTTTTGGAATCGCCAGACTTCAAACTTTTCAAAGGTGTGTTTGCCATGCCCGTATCTGCATTCTACGGTGCGTTACTCAATCAAAAGTGAAAAAAATACTTTTTTTGTAAAAAAAATAATTACGCATTTATGCTGGTGATAAGAAGGTTTTTTTCACTTTTCCTAGTTGTTCAATAGTCTGGTAAATTGAATGTGTCTGGTCAGTTTTATTCAAGTAGTGTCCTGAATTTTAATTTCTGTTTTAATCGCATTGCCCCCAACTCAAACCACAACACATTGGTAAATAATCCATGAAATAGTTTGTCTGGACACATTCAAGTTCCTCTCATTGTCACCTTAAAGCTGTGAAAATTTGGTGTTAATCCGACGACAATAAGTATACGTTATTTTTTGTTAAAGACCTTGTATTTTTAAAAACATAAACTCCTAGAAAACGTCCATGAAGTCACAGCAATGATTTTCAAGCTTGTTTATCGGCACAAATGATTTGTTTTTCCTTCAAGGTCTGTTTTAATAACATGTGTAGGGGGGGGGCATCCAAATGTGTAAGGCTATTGGAAACCAAAAAATAAAGGAATGGGATAGCTATAATTCGATAAAATCGGCAGATGAAAACACCAAAATCAATGATTTTTTTCAGTGGCTGTGTGACCTTGTGTCTGATACATTCATATGCAAATGACTAATCTGTGAAATAAACAGGGGCAGAGACAAACCACTCAAATGTTTGGAAACCCTCATTGTGTGTCAGATAGCTACTGATAACACATCCTAACATTGCTTTGTCTTGAGTTAATCTTTGAAACTTATAGGCACACAGATTAAACCTGTGTTGTTGATTTTGGAAAACACTACTGAAGCTGCCTTGCTTCCCTTCAGAAAATCCATATTTTAACCAACTTACATGACATTCTAGGTTACGTTGACTTTATCAGATGAAAGTTTCTAGTGCATTTCATCAATTAATAAATAAATGTGAAAATCGTAATTTTCAACACAAACAATAGTCTCGCTAACTTAAATGTGTGAAAGAAATAATTTTGTGCAATTGTGGATGAAACCAACAAACTACATGTACATTGCACTATGTTGGCTAAATTTCATGAAATTCTAAAATAACTGAAGACAACATTCATCCTATTATGTTTTGCCTTTGTACAAAATTGTACAAATTTTAATTTTTGGTGTTTTTTGGGACTAAAATGGCCATTCAACTGGCACATGTCTTCAATTATGACTTACCTTTGTACCAACTTTGAACAAAATCAGTCCAGGCATATGTGAGAAACAGGCATGTCCAAGAAATGTTGTAGAATGTACCACAAACAAATGCATACACACACAAAAACAAAACAGAAGTTTCCGTTTTTGACATAGATTAATAGAGTCAGATTTGTACAACTCTTAATAATAATATACCACTTGATATTGTATCTTGAGATGCACAGAAAAAAACAAACATGATTTACCTATACATAATTTCATCAAAAATATGCTGCTATTTTTAATGTACGATATATTTCTAATGTACGATAAATAATACCCTCATTAATTAATACACACAAGATACAATATCAAACATACTTATTTACTGATAAAAATACTTAAAGTTACCTATAATTTATAAAATTATTTCTTTAATGGTTTACCGATTGTTGGTATAATACATACCCTGATAAAAATACTTGAATGCCAGAACACTACTGAAAACTAATTTGACCATCTCAGCACAAACATTGACTGTCACAGGAAGATAATTATAGAGGCCATCTAGAAAACAATATACAAAAAAAAATATAGCATAACCATTACAACCTTGTTCAATGAGAATCAATATTAATTATTTAACAAATGAATAGATGGATGCAAGCTAACAAAGCACAATCAATGCATGGCAAATATGAGTATAAAGTCCTGGAGCAATTCAATAATACATCTGAACATTTTGCTTAAAAAAAGATTTTTTTTTATATTTAGGGGTGGGGGGGGGGGGAACAATTGTGACTATCAATTAACAAGCGCAATGAAGTTAACATAATTACATGTATATAAAATTTTAATTACTTATCAGCTTGTATCAGTCAAGATAAGCATTTGTTCAAACAATGAGGCAGAGGTGTGAATG